ATGATAGAATTTTTGTAATCCATGATCGAATGTTTTGTAATTCATGATCGAAATGTTTGTTTTTTTTCTTGTAATCCAAGTATCGTAAGTTTTTTTTTTTTTTTTTGTAACCCATGATAGAATTTTTTGTAATCCATGATCGAATGTTTTGTAATACATGATCGAAATGTTTGTTTTTATTTTGTAATCCATGATTGAAATGTTTGTTTTTTTTTTTGTAATCCATCATTGAATTTTTTGCTTTGTGCTTTTTTTGTAACCCATGATAGAGTTTTTTGTAATCCATGATTGAATTTTTTGTAATCCATGATCGAATTGTTTTTTTCTTTTTTTGTAATCCGCGATTGAATTTTTTGTTTTTTTTGTTTGTTTTTTTTTGTAATCGATGATCGAATTTTATATAATCCATGATCGAATTTTATGTAATCCATGTTCGAATTTTATGTAATCCATGATCGAATTTTTTGTAATCCATGATTGAATTTTTTGAAACTTTGTGATTTTTTTTTTTTAATCCATGATCGAATTTTTTTTGTAATCCATGATAGAATTTTTGGAAAATTTGTGATTTTTTTTTAATCCATGATCAAATTATTTTTTGTAATCCATGATAGAATTTTTTGAAAATTTGTGATTTTTTTTTTAATCCATGATCGATTTTTTGGAAAATTTGTTATTATTATTTTTTAATCCATATTATTCAAAGAGAAAATGAGAGAGATGATGATTCTGAGGCCACCCTATCCCAGTCATATTATTCACATATCGAGTCCCAACAGCAACAGTGTAGGGATGAGCACGACAGTGCAGGTGAGCATGAAGGATGGACAATCTTCTGGGATTTTAGATTGGGAACACAACAAAACACTAATACTCAGGGATTTGAGAATAGTCAGACACCTGCTAATATCGATGATTCGTTTTTAGATCGAATCAATGAATTGTTAAACGAATTCAATCAATGGCACCAGCGTGACCAAGAAGAACAATAACGTCGTCTATCATTTTATTTTTAGATCATATGTTACTAATTTTATGCTTTATTGTAGTCCATGTATGTTGATATACTTATTCCATGATAATTATATTTTTATCCTTTTGTGTGATGTAAATTAAATGCTGAATGGCGGTTCATGCAGGGAAAGAACATATCAATATTTGCATATTCATTCAAAAACATGAAAATTCTTAATGGAGTATCTTCATTTCTTATTGAATTCCTAAAAAACAATATTTATAATGAATTTTCATAATTTTTTTGGATTTTTTTTAAGCTTTATTCTGACGGATTCACCCGATTTCCGATCCGGATAGCCGATTCACCGATCCGGATCGGTTTTTTGGAAGCCCGATCCGGATCACCGATCCGTTTTTTAAACCATTGGTCATGACTGATTCTTTTGGACGGAATATTATAACAACAGTGTTAAGCAACTTGTTTATTTTATATTATAAATGTCCTTGATTATTTATGTATTTATTTATGGAATATATTTCATTCATACGATAGAAACAGGTCAAATTGGATCCTTTTTAATACTTCCAGTTAGCTACCTATCCATCCCTATGGATTAAAAACGCCTGAATTGGACAAATTCTAAAGGAGGAGGAGTCATCTCTATGGGATTAAATCTTGAATTATTGTGAAGTAAAATAAAAAGAATGAGATTATGCAAGCATTTTTGCTACTGCACTGTTCATTCTAGTTTTTACTGATTTTCATTTATGTAAAACAGTCGGACAAAGTGTTGAATGAAACTTGAATTATTAGTTTGACCATTGAAGATATGAAAGGGATTCTCATTCTTACTATTCCAGGTCTTAAATGAGTGGATTAGAATGAATGTAGGATAGTAGATTAGATTGAATCGGCAGGATATGGATAGTTTAGATAGGACGGTAGAAAGAACTATATGAATCTTTCTATTTTACTATCTATTTTATCAATCTTAGACACTCTAAGATCCCTTTTCAAACCTTCACCCATTGAACTAATCAGTTGCGTTTGTAATGGTTGAGTGGGTCGAAGACTAAGTAGTGAGTTATAGTTATCTGTACTACATTATTAAGCTAAAATTATTTATCAGTACTACATTATTAAGCCAAAATTATGGAAGAAAGGACCTAAAAAGTTTGTAGTGGCTGAGTAGGTCGAAGACCGAGAAGTGAGTTATAGTCATCTATACTACATTATTAAGTTAGAGTTATGGAAGAAAGGATCACGAAAGAATGTGGGGTACATCATTTTCAAACAAGATATAGTAAACCCCTAAAAATAATGTCCCTAAATTTTAATGTATAGAGAACAGAGAGACGAGAGTGCATCTCCTCTTAACATTCAAAATAATAAAAAATATGCTTGAAGAGATCTTAAATTTAGAAAGATACTCTGTAAGAGAGATCTTACATGGATAGAAAGAGAGTCATGTGGTAAAATATTGCCAAAGAGAGTTATGTGGTAAAATATTGAGAAAGAGAGAGAGAGTATTCCCATTTCATCTTTAGAGAGATAAAGAGGAAAAGTTTCATGGATCGAGCCGATCTACGAAAACATGAAAACTGACTGTCCAAAAATGCATTACAAGATGTACTATTTTTAAAACTTGAAATCTATTTTTTTTTTATGTCCATGTGTTTTGATATCGAGATGATTAATTTGATGATATTTGAACATCAAAAGAACATCTAACGAAAATTTTTATGTGGGCTTTAATTTAATTGTTTAGAGCCACGGCTCTATATAAAATTTTTCCTTTAGATATTAGAATATATGATTTGGCCTATCAAAACAAAAAGACCCAAACATGACATATTAACAAACTAGACCCAAAACATTAGGAAAATCTTGCTACCTACCCATAACAACATTAAATATAAAAAATAAAAATCCTTCACTTAAAACAAAGTCCCAACTCCCCCCAATTCGAAGAGCCCTTCCAAAAACAAAAACCATCCACAACCCAACAAATCCTAAAGACAACCACTACCACACTCCACGCAATGACCCGAAACTCCTCCTCGTGGGCCCTGTATATGCATACATGTGAAAAAACTTGCATCGAAACACAAGCCAACCACGAAGCTCCACTACATACCCAATGCTCTATGCTCGCTCTCCTCTCTCATACTCCTCCTTTTCATCTCTTCTATTCCCACCTCCATTGCTCAGCCCCCACAGGTCCTGGTGTGGCCCAAGCCCAGGAACCTCACATGGGCTCCCCCCTACTCCTCCATCCTCCTCTCTCCGACCTTCACCATCTCCTACCCCGGCTCCAATCCCTACCTCCAAAACGCCGTCAGCCGCTACCTCCGTCTCATCCTTGCCGAAAAATACACTCCCGTACGGCCTGTCCCCTCCAATCTCACTGCCTCCACTGTGCCTCTCCAAACCCTGATCCTCTCCATCGAGGACGAAACCTCCCCCTTGCAACATGGGGTCGATGAGTCTTACTTGCTCTCAATTCCCTATGGCACTGGAACACTGTGGTCAGCCACAGTGTGGGGAGCAATGCGTAGTTTGGAGACGGTCTCGCAGTTGGTTTGGGGCAATCCGGGCAGGTTACCGGTCGCCCTTGAGATTTGGGATGCCCCTCTGTTTGAGCACAGGGGGGTGATGCTTGATACTGCCGGGAATTACTATGGGGTGAGGGAGATATTGAGGACAATCGCGGCGATGAGCGAGAACAAGTTGAATGTGTTCCGCTGGCACATCACGGATGAGGCATCGTTCCCAATTGTGTTGCCGGAGCTGGCAGAGAAAGGGTCGTATGGGGCGGAGATGCAGTATTCCGCGGAAGAAGTGAGGGGCATTGTGGAGTTTGGGATGAGCGGAGGGGTCAGAGTAGTGCCTGAGATCGACAGTCCGGGTAAGCCCTCCTTCCCGTTAAGCCACTGGGTTGTTAAATGGCTTGTGCTTTTTTCTTTTTTTTTTAATGAAATCGGTTGCTTCCAGACCAGAAAATATTTATGGTATTACAATATAGTCCATATTTTCACGAATTTTAGGTTTTTTTTTTATCCAATTTTGATCGCCGTTTTGATTTAACAACATTAGACGACGTTTTTGTTTTTATTTTTTAATTTTTCTTAAACTTTAGGGCTTTCCGAGAGGTTGGAGGTCATTTGGCAGTTGTCTTACGTTTAAGATACTTGAATGACAATTCAATCTCCTAGACATAAGACCTCCATAGGTGTTTCCTTATTTTGTGTCAGACGTAACTTTATTCTTTGTTGATTTAGCTTAAAACTGTATCAATGTTTTCAACATTAAATTGGCTTCTTTTTTTTTATTGTCCGATGTTTCATATATTGGACTGGTTTTGGGTCACGAGAAAACATCTGATATTGGCTACATTAAATTGTCTAGGTTAAAAAAATAGTCCAATATCGCAAATATCAGACTAAGAAAATTTAGAAGTGAGGAGATGCCTAAGAAGTGAGGAGCTGCCTCATATTTAAGATATTAGATTGGACTTTTGCAATATTAATAAATAAGTATAGGGGAGTCTAATGTTTCTAAATTTAAAGTGTGGAGACACCCAATATTTGAGATATTTCTAAATCTTAGGATAGCTCTAAAATATAACAAAATATAAAAGAAATAATCTATAGTCCACTACCCTAGTTGTGAAGGGTCGATTTATGGACTGAGTGGATTTTTTTTTTTTTTTAAATTACAATTTGTGATGTCTTGCTCGTCAAGTAAAGGTGTTTGTGTAAATAGAATTAAAAGACAAAGGGTATTTTTGTCATTTTTAGGGATAAAGTTAAAATTTTTATTAAAAGGCAAAAGCACTTTACAAATAAAGTTTTAGGACACTAACTTTCAAAATACTATTGGCTTTTCGTGAAAATTTCAAATTGACTATTATTTAGTGATTAACTACTATTAAAATAATTTTAGACAAAAATTAATGATTTTTTTGGATAAATATACCTATCACAATTCATTCTAACATCAATCTTTATATTTTGAAGGGTTGTTAACTTTAAAAAACATAATATAAAAGGCTGTGGTCTCTATGAAGTTGCATCCTTAAACAATCACCTCCAAATTTTGTCATAACATATCAAGATTATTTGAAAATCTATTTTCATATCTAATTATAAATGTTTAACCTTTAAAAATGGTTAAAATCAAGTAGATCTATAAACATATGAAAATCTTGAAAATGGACGGTCTAGATAATGTGTTGCAATATGTATTCTTTCTGATACTCAAATTCCTTTTTTTTTTCATATTCATACATCACGATGTCGAGATGATCAATTAGAAGGTTTTTTCACATTAAAACAACGTTTTTTGGTGGATTTTTGAGCCGCATATGTAATTTTATATTTTAAGGTGGCGACCTTATATAAACTTTTTCCATATAAAAATAAGTTACGTTAGGGTGTTCACACTATATAGCATTTTATAATAGTATTCAACAAATTTTCGACACATATATACCCTTGTTTTATAATACAATATTATTTTAGTAAGGGTATTTTTGGTTGATAGGAGAGGTGAGACATCATCCATTTGAGATGTGGCATCACCCTATAAAAATATCCAACCATTTTAAAATATATAAATATCTTTTTAATACAAAGGTCAACATATTAAAAAAAGGAAAAAAAACATAAAAAAATTCAACTACTTCGACATTAGGACTAGGGAAAAAAATTGGAATTTTTTTTTGAAAAAGGGTGCTCGGCCGAAATTTCATGAAAATGTGGACCATATCATAAATTCCAAAATGTACATTAATTTCCCTTTTGGCTTTCTATGGTCTACAAAATGTCTTCCAGTACATAAATTTCCCTTTTGGCTAATGAACCAGAGGATTATGTTCTATGATCTACATGTACCAGCAGACCGCATTTATATAGTCCCTTTTGGCTAATGAACTAGAGGATTACGTCCTATGATCTACATATACCAGTAAACCATATATATATATATGTATATACATGATCGTCACTGCCATCATCAAATGGATGGACCATGATGGGGAGAGATTGTGGCTTAATAGGCCACGAAGTGTAAGCCACGAAGTGACCCAAGTGGTAGGTCCCAGATTCTCCATCACGGTAAACCTGTTAAATGGAGAGAATTGGTACATTGATATCTTACGATCGGCCTAATTTCTGCATTTTCATAATCCTATGGGTTTTGAAACATATTGATCGGTACTTGACATTCAGCATGAAAGCAACCACTGCAACTTGGTTCAAATCTTAGGAAAGGCCTGCCTATGGAAAGGGTTACCACAAAAACATAATATCAAAGTGAAAGCTACCATAAAGAAAGAGCTTTTGAGAATGTTAACTCCCTAGCATAGTAATATGTTACGATCCTAGGTAATTTTCCTTCACCCAAGGGCAATGTTAAAAAAATCGACTCAGCCAAGGTATTCAGGACCTGGCCAAGGCGATTTACTCGGTGAGTCTGAGTAAATCGCTTGAGTCCAGCTCATTTTTTATTGAAAGAAAATGAAGAAAAATAATGATTATATATGGGACCTGGTCGAGGCAATTTACTCGGCGAGTCTGAGTAAATCGCTCGAGTCCAACTCATTT